CGTATCTTAAATTGAAAATTAATTAATATAATTATGAATATGGTTTATTTTGCTTACAAAAAACATAACTTACGCTTAAAATGTAGTTAAGCGTATTTAAATTCATCCCATTTCTTAATTTGGATTTAACTAAGTTCACCTGTCTGAAGACCCGCTCCACTTCGCGAACAATTTGTTTTTACACTTTAGACATATCTTAACGCAGCGAAGAAGAAAAAACGGCTTATGCTCGAGCCTGGCGGTTATTTTGACAGATTTTATTATCGAAAGTCGTTTATCACTGCTTATATTCATGATTTTATGCGTTAACAAAGATAAGGAAAAAACAAGAGAGAACGCTACAGCCGAGCAAGCCCGACAGTGTAATACCCTGTACCCAGGTAAACTTCCGTCACTGAGTTATATCCGCCCAAAGCAACAGCAAAAAGAGGAAGAAGAAGAGCGAACTTGTTGGATTGTACTGGCGAGAATTTGTTTCGCTAATAACTTTTCTTAGAATTGACCGAATTGAATCAAATTTTAAACAACAGTAGATAATTATATATTAGGAGGCTAGGAGAATCTGGATGCCAACTTTGGTTATTCTAGCTTTTATAGTTTCTGAGATCCTTGCGTTCATCCAGACGGACAGACGGACATGTCTAGATCGATTTCTCTCGTCACGCTGATTTAGAATATATATACTTTATGGGGTCGGAGATGCTTCCTTCTGCATGTTACATACTTTGCACAAACCTAATATACCCTTTTTACCCTACGGGTACAGCGCATAAAAATATATGGTGAAAAATAAAGTAAAGCTAGAAAAAGGCTAAATAATTTTTTTCAAGCTAGAATTCCCGCTACCCGCTATTTCCGAATTTTTCCCGCACTGGCATTAAAAAAAAAAGCCAGATCTAGCGGAAAAAAAGCTAAAATTACAGCACTGCCTGGAGGGTCAACTCATGTAAGATGCAGGTGCACTGAACTGCCGGCTTTGCCGTCGCAAATGTAAAGTGTCATTATCAAAATTCACAAACGCGAAGTGCTTGTGTGACGTTGGCGTTTGTAAATTATTTTGAGAACAGTTGCATGTGTCGATTTGTGGCGACCGGTAGTGCCGTTTAGGCAATATTGTTGCTAGCCAAGTGCGCGTGACATAGTAATTAGTATAGATGCGTACATCGCAAATGCTATCGCTATATGTATGCATTTTGAGAGTGTTGCGTCAGCATTTAGCCGGCGGTTGGTGTTGTGCGTTCGTAGAATTAACTATTCAAGAAGAAAATTCGTTGAAACTTTAGGGTTGTCTGCAGGTTGTCCAGACGGCGTTCGTTCTTGTGGCGTACTCAGTGATTGTGATCCTGTATCAAGGATCACGTCGCCGTCACCAATGTTTACTCGCACACGTGCGGTAGTGCGAATCGGCAGGACGATCGTGGTCCTGTCGAGTTTAAGTTAAGTTAAGTGGTCCTACTGTTAAGCGGGAATTCTGGCTTTTTAATAATACAAGAACATTGTTTTCCGCTTTTTGTAATTTTGCCTATATTTATGTAAATATATTGAAACGTGGCGGTGTTATCATAATTAATAAAGGTGCGAGTAGATATTGATTTTCGGTTCACTTACAAAAACTCAAACGTTCTATGGGCGTTTCAGCAGCAAACCAAAATTGGTTTTGTATTCCCCTTCTTCCCGGCAAAACCCGATTTTCTTAAATTAGTTTGAATTGATTTTAAAACAAGATAGAACGCTACAGTCGAGCAAGCCCGACAGTAAAATAGCCTGTACTCTCCACAAAAAAGAAAAATTATAAAAAAAAAATTAAAAAAAAAAATTTTAAAAAAAAATTAAATTATTAAAAAAAATGAATGAATGAATTAACATACGGACACATTAGTACTAACTGGATGTACCTACCAAAATTGATTTCAAAATTCCGAGAATTACGGAAGTTATAAGAAAAAACACGAATTGCGGGGGAGTGGGGGGTGCATCGAAAAAAAACTCAAACTCGTACTTTCTCGGTTTTAGAAGAATATGGAAACCAAGTTTGGTTATTCTAGCTCTTATACTTTCTGAGATCCTTGCGTTCATACGGACAGACGGACAGACAGACAGACGGACAGACGGACGGACGGACAAGGCTATATCGACTCGGCTTCTCATCCTGATCAATAATATATATACTTTGTGGGGTCTGCCACGCCTCCTTCTGTGTGTTACATACATGCGCACAAAACTAGTATAGCCTTTCACCCTTTGGGTACAGGCTATAAAAAGTACTATTTCCATTGGTGGACAAATAAGGTAAAATTTTATATTTTTTAAACTCAAAAATTATAACATAAGGTTTATGAAAAAAAAAAACGGCAATTCTAATAGTAATATATAAATCAGGTACCAATCTGAATTCGGTTTAAGAATTAGACTATCAGGGGTGTCACTCAAATCTCCGGAGGTTTCGCCTACAGTTGTTTTTATTTCATTTCCATTTTTTCGAACTTCCCCTCCATGCCAGCTGTGAGACACAGCTAACTGTCGACACTTACATCAGACTGACTAATTCTATTTAAATCCTGTAACGCACTCAGCTGTCAGGAACAGCTGACTGTCGACGATTACATTTGACTGACTAATTGTATTTAAATTCTAAAACGTACTAAGTTAAATAAAAAAATATGCCATTTGCATTAATATTTGAAATATGTTGAAAAAATACATCGCAAATGCTTGAGAAGCGCATCTGATTATCACAATCACAATCACACAATTATCACAATTTGTTGAATTAATACACAGTTATTTGGTACTTATTTGAAACAAAAATTGCGTCACATATATATTTTATCTTTGACTTTCGTTTGACTCGGAAAACAAGACTTAACTCATCAAAATGTGATGTTTGAAAAATGTAATATTGTATTTTTGTAAGAATGACATTGACAGGGCTTTAACGGAAATGATTGCCAAGGATGTGCAGCCTTATAATATAGTGGAAAATGAAGGCTTTGTAAACTACAGTCAGGAATTGGATCCCAGATATAAGCTCCTAAGCAAATCACATTTAAGAGATGTGCTGATGCTTAATATGTTCAAGGGAACTTCTGCTAAATTGTCAACGATGCTAGAAGAAATTAAGGATATATCGGTCACATGTGACCTGTGTACAGCGAGGTCCAACGATAGCTTTTTGACCGTCACATGTCACTTTGTTTACAATTATAATTTGAAAACAGCATCATTGGCCACAAAAAAACTATTGGACACAACAAACCACTCAGCGCAAAATATTGCAAACACTTTGGAAGATATTTTAAATCATTGGAATGTACTGGATAAAACCGTTTGTATTGTTACAGATAATGCCAGCTCAATGCTGAAAGCATGTGAAATATTAAAAATTCAAAATCTTCCATGCTTTGCTCATATTTTGAATCTAGTGGTTCAAGATGGTTTAAAATTCGACAACGACGATTTAGTAAAAGCTTTGTTTACAAAGTGTAAGACCATAGTAAGATTTTTTAAGCAAAGCACCATATCGGGTGAAAAATTTAAATTGGCTCAGAAAGACTTCGCTTACACTTTGTTACAAGAAATGCCAACAACGTGGAACAGTTTCTACTTTATGACCCAGCGTATATTAGCAACAAGTGATGTCAAAGTAAAGCTAAAGTTGTATTATCAACCACAAAAGCCCCGCTACCATTAAATACAGAAAATATTAATATATTAAAAGATGTAGAAAAAATATTAGCCCTTTTCGAAGCCAGCGAAAAATTTCTAGTGGAAAATATATAACGCTTTGGACTGTACCGCAAACTCGAAAATCTTTTACCAGAAATAAAATCTTTGCCAGGAAAAAATATGCAAAATACTTTATTAAAGTCCACTAAAAAACGTCTTTCCTTTTATGAGAAACGGTCAGTAACCAGGATGGCCACGATATTGGATCCACGCTTTAAAAAGAACGGTTTTTAGCATAATTCAAATGCTGAACAAGCATTAGACGTTTTTGAAACGAGCTTGTGAATTTGTCTGTCAAGGAAAACCATGTTAATATGAAATCGAACCCGGAGACCAAGACTCAAGACACGTTATTTGATTTTTTAAATGAAAGACCTATAAACAAACATGGAAACGCACGAACAGATGCATTAATTATTAAAAGACAGTATCTGGAGAGAGCTATAGCCGCCCAAGAAATGGATCCTCTTTAATGGATTAAGGCAAACTAAAACAACGAATTATCAATAGTCAAGAAATATATATATATATATTAAATTATATTTTAGGTAAACCAAACGGATTTTCCCTTGCTTAAAACATCCGTTGAGTCCGAAAGGGTATTCAGCAAGGGCGGCCAAATTGTTTCGAAGAAGAGAACCTGGCTCAAAGATGAAAACGTTAATATACTTTTATTTTTAAACCAAAATTTTTGGATAAAAAAACAAAAATGTTTTAATGGATTTTCTTGTTAAAATATAAGGACACTTAAAGCTTTAAAAACAAACCAAATTTTTATATTGTTGCGGTCCCGTCCACTATCGTCGACTATCGATAGTACAATCGTCAACTATCGATGGTAGTAAAATTACTATCATCCACTATCGATGGCGCCGACTATCGATAGTTCTCCACCTCTAGTTGTTTTGGGTGCGTGTGAATGCAAGTGTTTTAAGTATACATTTAGTAATTTGCTTATTTAAGAATATTTACATAGAATATGCAAAATATTTTTGTTGCAGATTGTTCAGAAAACTTATAAGGCTTATATCCCAATGATTTTTTTATGAGGAAAAATGGCTTTGTCAGTGTTATTCATCAAAACTCCTGGCAAAACAAACGAGATTTGAAACCCAGTAGAGATTTCTGTGGCAACGGGCATTGGTTTTGAGGCGAATCTTGGGCGGAAGAGATTTCTGTGTCACCCCTGTTTATTTCGAAGGCAGTTTGGTCAGATCATACAATTTTTATGAAGCATCATACACTAGCTTCTTTGCAATGCATTCAAAACTGATCGTCTAACAAGTATCTCAATTATCGGAGCAGCGATGCTTCCTTTTAATCGATATAATTGCTCATAATTTATTAAAATCATCAATCCACCACTGACAGTAAAATGACAACAGAAGCTGGTGCCGAAATCGGTAAATTTTAGAGTAAATTACTTTCAGAAGATTGTTGCTGATAAATCGCATATAGATGTAGTCTCAAAATGAAACGGTTTATAAGATACTGTTTTGTTTTTTTTTAATGTTCAGAACTTTTGGAACGCGTATTGCTGCGTCTCGGATGTGCAGAGACGGATGAAAAATTGGAATCGACAGTGGCAAAATTCTTACCTCCAGTGATTCTCAAAATAAACTCTCCACATGAACTGGTGCGCACAAAGGTAAGTTATATTATTTAACTACATGTATGTTAAAAGCAACAACTGGTAGGTTGAAATGTCACAACATAAAATGTTAACTAATACGTTACAAACTACAATTATCAGGTTGTTGAAGTACTAACACACATTAAACGCCGGTTAACATCCCGTGGTCAGGTGAAAATACCAGTGGAGGAGTTGCTTAATTTATATGGCGCTCCTGAAAGTACTACTTTTCTTAAAAATTTCGCCATTATTTTTATCGCAATGGGCTATTCGAGATTGCCGTTGGATAACCAAGCTGCGCTTGTTGCCAATATGGTGAGCTGCGAAAGTGAACTGGAAGACTATCAGGACAAACTATTCACATTGCTGCTGCCGATACTGGGTGACATCAAAATACCTGAGGATCCAGCACAGCGCACCATGTTTCTTAAACTACAAGACAAGCCAGCAATCACCAAAAGTTTTCTGTCTTTTCTGTTGGATGTCTTACTACTTCCTTATGGTATCACACAGGATCATGAAGTCCCGCCAGGAATGAGTATGTACTCGTTTAAACGCGTGGTCGCCCACAACTGGCGTGCCGAGGAGCTGGAGAAAACAAAAAAGGGTATAGTGCGTTTCATATGTTCGGGAGTGTTCATGGACTTGGAGATTTTCCCTTTGCTGGTTGTGGCGTCGGCCGATACCCGCTTTAGTGTGGCCACCCCCGCGATAGCTGAGCTTAGTAAAGTATGTACCATGCTTGACTTCGCCAACCCAGCTGTAACTGCTCCGCTTTACACACTCTTTATTGGAAACCAAAATAAAATGACTCATCGGAAACAAAGTCCGTGCTGTGCTCGCGTGCGTCAAAAGATATTGCAATATTTGATAAAATGCCGTGGAAAAAGTATTAATGTACCTAAAGGCATACAGACCATATTTGATAGTTTATTCGGCACGAATACAAATCAGAAGTGCAAGGTGCTGTCACTCCAATTTGCCGAGCTTATGCTTAAAGAGTAAGTTTTACCTTCATAATTTTCTTATATCAATAACAAAAAATCTTTTTTGGTACCATATATAGTGGTCCACATGAAGTGATCTCTAAAGTATCCAAAGTTATTTTAACGGGTATTGTTAAAATCACCGGACGTGAATGTGTAGAGCCCAATGATGTACAAAACGCAGCATATGCCGCTTTAGCTCAACATGCTCGCAGTTTCCCTCAGGATGTCAATCAAGACCTAAAACTTGTACTTAGTTGTTTTAATAGTTTGTCCACAAGCACCATTGAATCTCAGGCTTCGATACGTGAGGCGCTCATATCAATGGCAACCGCTTTTGCCTGGAAAGCAACGTACGTAACAAATGCTATTAACTCTAAGAGTAATGAAACATCTGTGAAGCTAACTGGACAGCAGCAGTTACTGCTGGCCATGCTAATCGACAATGCGGAATCTAGTGCTCAAATTGTGCAAAACGTAACGAGTGTTTTTCTCACAAATTGCTTTCCACCACATTATGCGCCACCGCGGTATCTCTTGCTGCTTATCGCAGGTGAACGGTAAATATGTGCTACATGAATGGAAGAATTCCGTTTTTAATTTCTTATTTAAATTCAGGAATTCTCTCCGCGAAAATGTAACAACGTTTCTCTACGGTACCTCCAAGAAAGATCACGTTAACTTTGACATGTTGCATTCCATTGAGCATCTAGGGAGTAATCCAATAGACAACTCGAATAAGTTATTGCCTGAGCAACGCCATATTGTGCTACCTAGTTTTAGTGACATGATGGCATACGTTAACGAGATGGCCCAAAAACGAATAAAAAAGAATACTGCTCGTATACTAGTAGGTGGTAGAACACTGCCTTTCAGCCTAGAAGCATACGAAGAGATTCAGTACTATCTTCGCATTTGTCTATGGTATTCTGCTGGCATTAAATCGGCACCGGGAAATGAAAAATATGTAAAGGAGTTGAGACAACATATTGTTTTGAATTACAACGTAAATGATGAGAACAATGCTCTGCACCAATATTTACTGTTCCTGCAACATAGCTTAGAGGTCAAACGCTGTGAGTGTTTTCCGGTTACTACAGAAAAGATCTAATTCATATTATTTTTAGCGGAATCGAATTTGCTGTGCCTGTATGATCTGTTAAATGCAGCTCCCGAGATATTTGCTGTCAAGCAAATACATTTGCTTGAGCCACTAAGCAACTCGTTAAGGGATGTATCAGAAACGATGCGCGTGCATGTGGCTCAAGTATACGCCATTCTTTTGGCGTTTGGATTGCCGGATGACCAATTCGATCAGGAAGTAGGCAAATGCCTGACAAGTTTTTCTCAACAAACACTGGAGCACCAGCATGGCTGGCTTTTGGTTTTAGGACAAAGCTTAAATAGAAAAATTGAATTTTTGCTGCGGCAACGGTCGATGAAAGATTTCGGAAAGTGGGGAATCTTCGTAGATACAATCAAAGTTATAGGTATTTCATCAATACAATCATTGCTGGCAAACATTTAATCTTACAACTTTTCAAACAGCTAAAATGCTTTCCGAGACGCAGTGGCTGCTCGTTTCAGCGGCGGTCAAATGCATCTGCATGATAGGCAAAACCGTTCAGATACCAAATGTGCATGAAGAATTTCAAGTGATTTGCAATAATGATAAAGAAAAATTAGCAGAAGACAAAACGTCAACCAAGCTAATTATATTTGAGAGAGTTTTTCAGCTTTTATGCACTACTTCAGTGCGCCAAAAGATACGAGAAGAGGCAGCTAAATGCCTGGGGTACTTAGCAATTGGTGATGGCGCTTACTTTAGTTTACGAAATTTGGACAAAATACTATCGCTGGTCAAGTTACAAAAGGATGCAGCTCTAAACATTGCAATATCGGAGGCCATTGTCAACACAATATGCGGTTACGATGTTAATGTTGGTCCGCCGGCTGAAGACTTTGTGAATATTCATTGCAACGATGACGCGTTTGAGAAGTTTTTGAATTCCCTCCTAACGCTTGCAACTGAGCCAAATCAACACTCCCGTCAGGCCGTCTCTGTTTGGTTGCTGGGAGTTGTCAAGCACTGCAGCCTCCGACCGTCTGTACTCAACAAAAAACAATTGCTGCAACTGACCTTCATAGAGCTGTTATCTGATGATAGCGGTAAGTTAATTTGTATATACTTATTTATTTTATACTTATTTACTATACCTCATGCTACCTCAGTAAAATTGATATATGTGCAAAATTTGTTTATGATATTACCGTTATTATGATAGATGGCTATGTTTTGTGTATACAAGTTTTATCTCTTACTTTGTGTTGCTTTCTCATACATTCGTTTCTTATCAGCTCTTAATCTCAAGTACCGTTAGCATCCCAGGTCATGAATTCATAGTAAACTGATAAATCATAAATTTTTACATTTTAAACATTGAAAACCACACTTATAATCTCCAGAAAAAAATTTAATTGTTAAGAAGATTTATTGGAGGCTTTTTAAAAGCCGTTGTGCTTTGCCGAACTTAAAATTAATAATTATTTAAAATACCCCGCGAAAACGAGTTAAGCACAGACAATAAAATAAACAAGATAGAACGCTACAGTCGAGCAAGCCCGACAGTAAAATAGCCTGTACTCTCCACAAAAAAAAAAAACAAGATAGAACGCTACAGCCGAGCAAGCCCGACAGTAAAATAGCCTGTACACTCCACAAAAAGGAAAAATTAAAAAAAAAAAATTAATTTTTTATATTAAATTACTAAAAAAAAATGAATGAATTAATTAATTAAAATAATTAATTTAATTAAAATAGAATACATGTTTATGTTCAGTTTAAACAGCATACATTTACATCACGTACCTATGCGTGTTTATATGCGTGTATGTATGCAGCACAAAGTTGAACCAAAGCAGCAACAACAACAACAGCTGCGGGCAGCGTTGCCGACAGAGCTGCAGGCAGCGCACGAGTGGCGATTTTACTTATGGCTTTAACTTTCTTCAGAATTGACCTATCATGATGAAATTTGGCACACGGACACATTAGTACTAACTGGATGTACCTACCAAAATTGATTTCAAAATTCCGAGAATTACGGGTGTTATGAAAAAAAATACGAATTGCGGGGGAGTGGGGGGGTGTATCAGAAAAAATAAACAAACTCGATCTGCCTAGGGCTTATAGGAACCTTGATACCAATTTTAGTTATCCTAGCTCTGAGATCCTTGCGCTCATACAGACAGACGGACAGGCCTAGATCGACTCGTCTCGTCATGCTGATCAAGAATATACTTTATATATACTCCTTCTGCCTGTTACGTTTTCAGCTCCCGCAAACCTAATATACTCTTGTACATTTTATGTACAGAGTAAAACAAGCCAGCTTTAAAAACACTATTTTCTTGGTTAAATTTAAGGAAATATCTGTTTTAATGTTTTCATATTAATTCTATATTCTTAATTCATAATTCATAATAATAATATGAGATTCTTGTAAAAATAATAATAGAAAATTCACATTAAAATCAAGCTAAAAATTCTACAGTTCATTTTCAGTTCAGTTTTATTACGATTAAGTCCGTAAATTAATTAATATAATTATGAATATGGTTTAATTTGCTTACAAAAAACATAACTTACGCTTAAAATGTAGTTAAGCGTATTTAAATGCATCCCATTTCTTAATTTGGATTTAACTAAGTTCACCTGTCTGAAGACCCGCTCCACTTCGCGAACAATTTGTTTTTACACTTTAGACATATCTTAACGCAGCGAAGAAGAAACAAACGGCTTATGCTCGAGCCTGGCGGTTATTTTGACAGATTTTATTATCGAAAGTCGTTTATTTATTTATTTATAAAAAAAATCAACAAATTTACTGTCAATAAATAATTGATAATATTAGAAAGTAAAATAAAGATATTAATAGTATTACTTTATAAGTTAAACTTAAAAGATAAGAAAGCCTAAGGGAGAGCTATACAATGACGTCTATTAATGCCTCCGACACGTTGGGGGAATTTTATTTGCCAGTTGGCCAGCTATGCCCCGATTCACAGCCAAATGTGGTCAGAGACATTATAGACCTAACAAACTAAACAAATAGCAAGTAGAAGAGAAGAATTAATTCTACTTAAGAACTAATTAGAAAAAGTAAGGTGTAGAAAGAGGAAGAGGAAAAAGAAAAAAATAAGAGGGAAAGAGAGATACAAAGACAGAGAAAGAGGTAAATCTCCAACCCGGTGGGGGAAAATTTAAATGCCAGTCCGGCTAGCTATGCCCCGACTCACAGCAGAAGTGGTCAGAGATTTTCCCGAAGATAATTATAAAGAATAATCTTTACAGAACAGAGAGAGAGTTCTGTCGAAAGTAAATGTGAAAGATCATTATAATTACTGCAAATGACCCGAAAACGATTGTGCAAAGCGTAATCGGTTGTGCATCTAGCCAATATGAACGGCAAATAATTCCTTGTTGGTCTACAAGGAACTGAAAAATTAAGGCGACCTAAGAGGGCAGAGGAGTCAACCTCACCGATAACTAACTTGTGGAGAAAAACTATTCCAAGAACAGTCCTACGATTTTCTAAAGATGGAAGGTTTATAAGTAATAGTCTACTTGAATACGATGGCATCAAAACATTAGGATCCCAGTTAAGTCCGCGTAAAGCAAAAAGCAAGAATTGCTTCTGAACAGATTCAATACGCTCCTGATACTTTCTATACTGTGGACACCAGACACAAGAGCAGTATTCAAGCACAGGGCGTACTAGAGACGTGTACAGAAGTTTGGTAGTATAAGGATCAGTAAATTCCTTGGACCATCGTTTAATGAATCCAAGTACACCCTTAGCTTTATTTACAATGCTAGAAATGTGAAGATTGAAGTTCAATTTGGAATCAAAAAGAACCCCAAGGTCTTCAACAGTCGATATACGCTGCAATGGCACATTGTCAATCGTATATGTGACTAAGAGGGGCAAAGTTCGATGAAAGGTCATGAACTTACATTTAGAGCAATTGAGGTACAAGCGGTTTACTATGCACCAAGATTGCATGCAGTTCAGATCATCCTGCAGGCGTTGAAAATGAAGAGGGTTTTTGTAAGATAGAATAAGTTTCACATCATCAGCATACATAAGTATATAAGAGTGTGCCAAGATAGAGGGGAGGTCATTAATAAATAATGTAAAAAATAAAGGGCCAAGATGACTACCTTGAGGCACACCTGATGATGCATAAACGGGCTTAGAGATATGCGACCTGAGCAAAATTCGTTGGGTCCTGTTTTTTAAATAGGACGAAATCCAACGCAACAAATCGGCAGGAAATCCTATGCGGCTAAGCTTAAAGAGCAGAAGGTCATGGTTAACAGAGTCAAATGCTTTACTGAAGTCAGTGTAAATGATATCAGTCTGCATTTTTAGAATAAATGCCTCATTTACCAAAGAAGTAAATTCCAGCAAATTGGTCGTAGTAGACCGTCTCTTAATAAAACCATGTTGAGCAGGAGATATGACAGATTTGCAGAGATGCTGCAAAGTGCCGCAAACTATTTTTTCAAATAATTTTGGTATAGCGGACAACTTTGCAATACCTCTGTAATTCGAAATATCAGACTTACCACCCTTTTTATATAAAGGAATTATAAAAGATTCTCTCCAAATAGCTGGAAAGATTGAAGAACTAAGCGACAGATTAAAAAGTTTAAGCAATGGTTGTAAAAGAGAACTAGAACATTCCTTGAGTACACAACTAGGAATGTTGTCTGCTCCAGGAGAGTACGAAGACTTCAAGGATTTGATAGCAGAAAGTAGACAACTATCAGTAATTATGGGAGCGTAAATAGTGTGGGAAGATGAAATGCTATAAGGATAAGAGGTATTACTAATAGAGACAGAGGAATAAGTTGACTGGAAGAAGTTGGCGAACAAGTCAGCAGCTTCAGAATCATTGCTGGCTTTCTTGTCACCAAGGAAAAATGATGAAGGTAGCGAAGCAGTTTTACGTTTAGAGTTAACGAACTTATAGAACTGTTTAGGGTCCTGTGCAAATTGTATCTTACATCGGGCAAGGTAATTATTATAACACCGTGAGTTAAGAAGAACAAAATTGGATTTCGCTATAGAGTATTTATAGAAGTCAATAGATAGGCCCGACTGCTTATACTTTTTAAAGCATCTAGATTTAACATTTTTTAAGTTTGAAAGTCTTGGCGAAAACCACAGAGGTTTTGATGACGCAGACGATATGACACAATTTGGGATACAGACATCAAAAAGAGCATTAATAGTGTCATAGAAAAACTTAACGGCTATGTTGATATCAACCGCACTATACAGAAAAGACCAATTAGTTGCTAAAATAAGTTCATTAAGCAAAGAAAAATTTCCTTTGTGAAAGCAACGACTTGTTTTATTAGAATTAAGTGTAGGAATTAAGGTGTGATTTGAAAATGATAGAGAGATTTCTAAAGTAGGGTGGTAAGTATCTTCAGGCACTGACAGGGGTGAAGACCTAGAGATAACTGCGCTACTAGGGTCAGTGACATAGACGAGATCAAGCATTCTACTAAGGTGATTAGGTATAGGATTAATTTGAAACAAAGAAACGTCCAACAGGCAATCCAAAAATTCATGGTCTGCAGAGGGCACCAAATAATTTGATTCATTGAGGTATGACCATTCTATGTTGGGCAAATTAAAATCACCTACCACAACAAACGCGTCGCTGTCACGAAGATGAGTAAAAATTTCTTTAATACAAGTTATATGTTGCATATAAACCTGAACATCAGAAGAGGGAGGTATGTACGAGCAAGTGATGTATAGAACAAAAGACGGAAAAGTTACTTTAACAGCAACAAATTCAACATCATTTGGCACATCTACATCAATGATTTCCGACCGAAGGTTGGATTTGACTGCAATCAGTACGCCTCCACCTCGACGACTCGGACGATCACGACGAAAGATACAAAAGTCATCTGATAAAATTTCGTTATCAAAAATCGTAGGGTTTAACCATGTTTCTGAAAACGCAATAATATTCGAATCGAAAGAAAAACTGCTCAAAAATAAATTGCCAAGCTTGGACAAAAGACCCCTAACATTCTGATACAGAATATTAAGCGAAAAGGATAGCGAGCCTAGTTTTTTGAA